TATAATAACATTTCAGTGACAGACCTTTTCTTGATTATATTTTAGCTGCAGACAAGAAAGGCCAGGTTTCAATGATGCGTCCAAATCAAAAACAAGCACTCCCCAAAAAAACAGAGGCTGTGAGCAGGTGGCTTGGGCTGCTGGAAGTGGAGCTTCCTGTTTCCATACAATGGGGAATTTTATGATTAATTAAATGAGGGTGAATTAACTGACAGATGGCTTTTAATAAATTGCAAAGATCAGCTGGTTTTCCACTTGCATGGATGAAATGGCTAAACATTGAAATAGAAGGAATATTATACTAAGATGGCTTGGATATTGGCTGTTGATCATATCCACCTGGGTCAGGTCTAGCTTCCATTTGGAACAGGAGCAGAGCAGTAAAAAAGAATAGCCTGATCCATGAGCTATTGTTCTCCCGAGTTACAGAGACTAATCCAGCCTTTTCTGCCATAGGATTGCTCTCTTCACCTTGGAGTGCCATGAAGGGAAGATCCTTTCTCCTGTGTCACCAGCCCAGTTTTGTGTGGGTTCCTACTGATCTTCCAAACTGGTGGCAAGTGACCATTTGCTCACTAGCCATGGGCATTACCTGGCAGGAGTTGTAAGTGGGTAAGTCAGTCATGGAAAGAAATGCATTTGAAATTTTCCCATGTTTTGCCTACATCCAAGACTGAGTGCAACTTGAAGTCTTAAAAGTAAGAAACATGCAAAAGTCTTAAAAGTAAGAAACATGAAATTAGCATGCTGATCACGTATGGCAAGGCTTCTAGCCATTTATTTCTGACTTACAGAGGCTCACCTAACTTCTCACTCTCCTTCTCCCTGGAATCTAATCATAGCTATTTGTATTGCTTTTATAGCCCTGTTTTGCATACTGACTTGCTACATCATATTTTTAAGTAAACACCAGTCTGAAAAGTACCTGCCAGAAAAACTGTGCACCTGTTCCCAGAACTTTGGCAGCAAACCAATAAAGAAATCCAGGCCAGTTAACACTGGCCAAAGAAGTGGGCCAAAAGTTTGAAGTGGAAAGGTTATATATCTGAGAGCTGCAGTAGCTGCCTGAGCATTTGTAATAGTGACTTGGCTGTATGGGTGAAGCCAGCAGGACACAGGACAAAAACTTGGGGGTCTGAAGGCCAGAATCAGAGGCTGGCAGAGCCAGCAGGAAAAACAGGGAAATATTTTCATAAAATGCACAGAGAACGAAACCAGGCATTAAGCTGAGCTTTAAATGGCAAAGGCATCTTACATGCAGGCCTTTCCTTGGAAAGGAGACAAGGAGAGTGGGTCCTGGCATGGTACTGTAGGACTAACAGAGCTATCATAAAAGAGCAAGGATTCCATCTTCCTGAAGCAGCTTATGTCAGTCATCTGAGCATATAGGCAAAGTAGGTAGGGACCCAGATCCATGGGATCAAGGACTTCTAGTTTTCTCTGAGCTCAGTGCCCCCCTGCATTTGGCACTGGGGCTGTGACCTAGCAGCAGACTGCAAGTAAGAGTCTCCCACCACCCGGCTACCCCCCTCAGCTGCTTAACTGTCCCATGCACCCCTCCACCTCTCTCCTTTTCCAAGATTTCCCTTGTGCCAGATGCCACAGCTCACCTTCTCTGGGAACAGAAGTCCACTCCATGCCTGCAAGCTACAGGGAGGAGACTGCTGTGTCCCAGGCAGATGGGTAGGAGAACTGGATCTTGAGAGGTTTGTCTCCTGGCAGGGGAGGAAGCAGCAGCTCTTGCCTGCTTTGCTGCTTTTGGCGCCATGAAGCTTTAGTTTGGGTTACCCATGGACATACGTAGAGGTGGAGTCACTCAGTGACACCCCTTGGGAGGATGAAGAGACAAGCAGAGAACTTGAATTCCATATGACACTGTAATTAAATGGAAACAAGAGAACAATTGGTGCAGTGAAACCGGAGGTTTTATGTTGCTCTTGACCTGGTGAAAACCACAAGCTACTCATATTTTCTCTAATTTTTCAAACCATTTTCCTTTTTCCTTTCCATTGTTTTGTTTGCAATGCTCTTCAGTGGGTGTGCTTTGACCTATGTGTTCCTCTGCATATGCCTAATGAACCACAAGAATGCCTAGTGCCTATTAGATAATGTATTTCTTTATGGGTTTGTAGATGCTCATGCAGAAACACATGCATTAAAGGCTTCACTTTGGTTGGCAAATAGCACTTCCTAATGTGCTCACCACCCCAGATTGCATTTTACTGGGGTAAAAATAAAGGGAAACTGTCTCAGCCTACCTGGGTTACCTCCATGACATTTCCTGCCATCATGTTTTGTTTGCTGGTGTCCTGTCTCCCAGATTGAGTAGAGGAGCACTGCACAGCCCGGGGCAGGGGAAAGCCCTCTGCAATTCCCAGCAAAGGCAGGCCCTGGGGACTGAGAAAGCAATCACAGCCGTGACTTTGGTTCTTTGGTTGTCTCAGCAGTTCTTTGGTTGACCAGGTCTTGAAAAAGTGACGTCAAACCAGGTGGGAGTTGTACACTGTGAACTCATGACAAACACTGTGGGTTCTGGTGAGATGTGCTACAACCACTAACCAGATTTTTTAAAGCTTGTGGGACAGGCTTCAGCAAGTTGTCTCCTGGCAAAGTGTCTCTGGAAGAAACATCATGCAACCACAGATTGACGACTAAAGCTATGTAAGGACTAGTGCTTACTTCAACTGGAGCTGTAAGTGCAGTGAAGAGCAACTGGGGGCAGTGCCGAGCACCAAGGCAAGGGAACTGAGAGAACCTGTACAAAACAGAGTAGTGCTGAGACAGGTTTTGGAGCTCAGTAGGAAAGATTTGGGCATGCATGGAACTCAGGGTAGTTCTCATGGCTTGACATAAAGATTAGGATCAGACTGTGATGGTAGGCAGTAAAGCCAGAAGATGAGTGGAGAAGGGATCCCAGAATCACAGAATATTCTGAGTTGGAAGGGACCCACAAGGATGTTGTGACAATCTGTCTTTCTATAAATGCATTATCTCCCAAAGTAATTATGAAGGGTGATAGTTCTGTTGCATTTTAGTTCTAAGACCAGATGTGTATGATAGATATGGTGCATTGCCTACACGCAGCTTGATTAGTCAGTCATCTTTCTTACTGGATTGATGGGGAAATCACTTTTGTGATGCTGCAACTTTCTTTTCTCTTTATTCCTTCTTCTCTCTAGTGTTGATTTTCCCGTGTTCAACAGTTTTCCCTTCCATTTCCTGTAATTTTCCTCTTTATTTTTCTCTGACTTTGCAAGCTGGGATAGAGGCAACAACGTTTTCTTAGTTTAGTAACAGCTCAGGAGGTACATGTTTTCTCCTGGAACTAAAATATTACTACATTTTATTCAGATTTATTTTAGTTATTGCTTTACATTTAAAGGTTTATGGGGTTTTATCTTTGATTTGCGGAGAGATTTGTGTCTCAGGAGTGCTGATTTTCAACTGAAAGAGCAAATCTGTTGACTTTTTGGTCACATGCATTGCATGTTTGCAGGAGCATTCATTTGACTTCCTGGTAGTCATCCATTTCAAAAGCATTTTGAAAGATTCTTATTGTTGTCAAATAATTTGTTTGCAATAGACTATATCCAGTGATTCCTTATCTTTTCCTTGTACTTTGTGCTGAAAAATTCACTGGGTTGCAGATTAGTTACTAACTTGCTTGTAGAGATTATTTGGAAAACAACTAGGAACTAAACATTTTCTGCACTGCATTAATTATTCAAATTGCCATTTGAATCCTTGAATTTAGCTCAACATACTTAGATAACAACAAACACCAGCTTTCATTCTGTTGCTGATGTGGGACAGCTACAATTGCCAGAAGAAACTGAAGTGAAATTACATCACTGCAAGTTAGATTATTACATTTCTTGACCAATATAGTGGAGTTTATTCCAGATAAAGGTGTATTCAGCTACCTTAGAGACAATTCTTTGTATTTCTTACACACACTGCCTTTAATAGTAGGGAATAAAACTGTGAGTGAACTGTATCTCCTATGGACTTGGGCTGCAATTGTGAACACCCAGCTCTTCCTAGTTAGATGCCTCGTGCAAGACTCCGAGAAAATTGACAAACACTTAACTTGCAGTCAGCTGTAAAATCAAATGACTTCTAAGTTGTCCCATGGCACCACCACAGGAATAAACACTGCGTGTGTCTCGCTCACTTCAGAGGTGCACCAGTAATTTGAGCTGGCCTCTGGGCCATGGCTCAGTCCTGCCCACAGCATGTTTGTGTTCTTCTTCCTGTGCCCTTCAGCCTGCCCAGAGATCCCTGCTAGACTGGTACTGATACCCCACCTTAGCTAGTGTGAAATAAGCTCATGCCCATGAACTTAGGCACAAAAGTTGCAGCTGCAGCACACATACCTGTCTGTAACAGAGGCAGGAATACCATCCATTTCCTCAAGGTTTCCTACACTCTTCTGTGGTGAATAGTCCCAACATCTTCTTCTGCAAAAATCTGGTACATCCTGAAAGTCCATCCTGTATCCTAAACAAAGACAAGGCCTTACAAAATAAAGCAAGGCCAGAACAAAATAATACTGGACTACATAATTTAAGAAGGTTCTGAAACATATGAACAGGGGGACTGACATGAAGTCACAAAATCAGTCTTCTAATATATCCTAATTCTGAGGCCTTTGTTGTATACCCTTAATGATTTTTTTTTAAATCGGTTGTGTGCCTATGATACCTAGGTGAATTGAAGGGTAAGGACTGAAGAGCTGACAGCTAAGGGGAAAAGATATAGCAGAGTTAAATAAATAACTTTAGAAGGCACACAGTTTAGCTATATACTTGGAAGAAGCTTGGTTTTGTAAAGGGCAGGATGTGAAGGGAGCCTCTTGGGAGAGGGGGGAAAGTACTAAGGTATTTTCAGCTCAAGGGAAGACAAATTACAGAGGTCTGAACTTTGGTTCCCAGCCCAGAATACACTGAAAATTACCTTGACAGGGTGAAGACTGGAATAGCCCCTGAAGAACAGACAGAATTTCCTAGCTTTCAATCTGTTATTTTTATTATGTGTACACATAGGCTGTAGAAAACTGCCACTGAGAACAGAATCCACCTCTGGTTATTCCCAGTGACAGCCATCAAAAAGCAGGAGCTGCTTTTCCAATCAAGGAATCATCTTGTTGTGATACAATGCTAAAAACATACTGTGAGGTCACTGAAGCATCATATAGAAAACTTTCAGACTGGAAGCGGTCAGGATCATAAAGATAGAAACAGGAGAGGACAATCAAATTATTAACAACCCCTCAGATTTCTTCTAGCATGATACATTCTTCTAGCATGTTCTCTGGGCAGAACACAGCATTGATGCAGCACAGGATTCCAAACAAATTCATTTTTTCATCCTCTTTATCAGAGGCAGAATTATTTAATAACTTTCTTTTGAAATAGCAAGGTCCAGCCCCAAACGCTTGAGCGCTGAGGTACGGAGAGATTCTCCAGGAGCCCAGTGATTCCAGCCTCAGTTGGGTGGGGCTTCATTTTGCTCCTGGCAACAGCTCCTCAGGGCGTAGTTCTTCCCCTGCCGGCTTTCCCTAGGGTTTCATGGCAGGGGGTAAAATTTGAGGAGGGATAATCCTGCCCCTGGATCCCTGCAGGATCGCAATCCCCCTCGATATACACACGGTGACGATTGGTTTATTAACAGATGGCAATTCCGGGAGGCTGGGGGTGGTTCCCTGCCCCCCGCTTTGCGAGTCTCCCCTCTCGGACTGTCGGGGCGGGGGAGAGGCTCCTGCCGCCGGCCCCTGGAAGGGGAGGAGAGGGACGAAGAGTAGTGTCTGCGGCTTCGTAGGGAAGTCGATCAGAAAAGACAGACACTATGAAGGGGAAGACGTAGCACTGCATCATCTGTCGTCACGTGAGTATCTCCTCCCCCTGGTGGGCTTTGGTATAAATGGAAGAGGAATTTCAGCACGCTCGAACTAAACAACATTTCTGTGTAAATACACAACGTGCTTCCTCCTACGTTTTCTCTTCTAGATGGGGCTCAGATGAACAAGCCTTTATCTTGAATCCCGTCGTAAGCACCACCATGTGGGAACCGGGCTGGACCTACCAGAGGCTGCAGCAACAGCCTGGGCGGCCCTGAGCAGAAGCGACGAGTTCTGTCCTCTTCTTTGGGATGACTTAAAACAAGCTGCTCTGTTAACAAGCGGTAAGTGAATACCCCTGGTTTATCCAGCATAGCTCTGTAAACCCTTGCATAGGCTGAGTGGATCTCGTGGACGGTGCCTCAACCCATAGGACTGGATGCGCTGGAAGTGCTGGTTCCCGAGTTTGCCGGCGTCTCTGCCGCAGGACATGAGACGGTTGTCGGGAGACGTTCCACGGTTGGACACGACAGATCTCGGAGGTCTTTTCCAACCTTAACCGTTCCATGATGTTCTTGCGTCATTTCAGACAGGAACGCTTCCATCTTTAACCTCATGTACAGTTTGTATGCATGCTTCCAATTTTAAAATTTCCTTCAGGTGAATGCTGATGGCCGCAGCTGCCATTGTTATTCAGTGTAAATTACCGCGTATTCAAAGGCAGAGCTAGTTCTTTCAGTGCATCCGCGCGTTCCTCGGTGAAAGCACTCAAGGAATTAAATTGAATTTCCAGAGGGATGGAACCTACAAGCCTTCTTTGAAGAGAGCACAATTTTAATCTGTGTTGAGAGCTGGTGAGATGAGACGTCCCAGACCTTTCCCAGAGATTCCTGGGAACTTCACGGCAAAAATCTTACCACGGCGGTGTAGTCGGGAGCCGGTTCCCGGTGAGGATGAGCCCAACAGAAACCGAAGTGCCGCCGCCCCCCGCTTTCCCGGCGGCTCTTGGATGCTCCTGATGCCGCAGGCGGGGCGCCGGGGCTCGGGGCGCAGGCCGGGCTGAGGCGCTGCTCGGGTCCGCATGCGGGGCCGGGTGTCGCCCCCTTCGAGCAGCGGGGAGCGCGGGAGGGTCCATCGGGCAGCTGTGCGCCTCCGCACACAGGTAGGCGGCTCCGGGGAGTGCCACCGACGAAGGGAAGGGGCCGCCCGCCTTTTCCCGGCTGCTCCTGGTGGGCTCGGGGCGGGGGAGCCACCCGCCTTCCCCCGGCCTCCCGGAGCAGCTCCGCTGGTAGGCCGGGGCGGCGGGCGGAGCCGCTTCGGGGCCCCCCGCGGGCGGTGATTCGCGGCGGGCGGGCGGGCGCGCCGGCGGGAGGTGAGTGCGGGAAGGGGGATGGGGAGACAGGGGGATAAAGGGGCGGCGGGCCCCGGTGCTCCGAGGTGGGCAGACCAGGGCTGGGCGATGCTGGGCTCATGCGGGCAGAAGAGCCCCGCCAAGGGGAGCCTCCCGGCGGAGCTGACCGCGACCCGTAAGTAAAATCAGACGGGAGATTTCGTGGCTTCTGCTGAATTGCTTGGGTCGGGTAATCCCTGACCGTTTTGCCATGCCTGCCGGTCAGACAGGTTCGGATGAAAGATTGCTTCTATTGAGGGTACCGAAAGGGAACTGCTCCTTGGAAATCCCGAAGGCCTCGGGGAAGGAACAATGGCTCTGTGGGTAGACTCTGCCTTAAGCTATGCAAATCCATTATTTGCATTTGAGGAAAGAAGCAAACTCTGGAAGTTTCATGTCCGCTGCCTTTTTTTTTTTTTTTTTTTTTTTTTTTTTTTTTTTTTTTAAACTATTTGTATTATTATTTGACAGTGGGGGTGGTGTTTCGGTTTTAGTTAGAGCAAGTGGTGAGATCAGTCCTGCTGCCCTTTCTCAAAATTTCCAGGGAGATGAGCGGCTGGTGTGAGATTGTGCCTGTTGTTACCCAGCTGAAACTTTCTGTCTAGTTTTCTTCAATTTTTGTCTCCATCCGTGTTTTACTGAGCTATTCTCTCATAGTGTGATTGCAGAATTATTAAGATTGAACTTCGTGATGAGATAAGATTACTTATTTTAACCTGGTAATTCACCTGAACTGTGTGGAAATGTTATAGATAAAAAATATGAAAATGTTACAGAGAAAAGGTATATATAAAATATTTCTGTGGAGAGTGCCATGGTACTAGACTGGTCACTCCTAAACTGAAGGAACTAAATCCAGAGAGGTGTTGAAGGAAATGTTCACGGAGCAGGGTTTCCTACCCATCAACATGCAATGTGCTTGTCTGACTAGGTCTCAGAATTGATATTTCTGAAAGTAAAATAACTCTCCTTTCACATGTAGGACTTCACCAGCTGTACCTCTGGTTTTTATTTCACTTAAATAAATCTACTTATCTGTTTCCCCCAGTCTGATGCAGTACCTGCTCCTTTAGCTCATCTGTCTCTGCTGAACTGATACAGTCCATTAAGTTAAATTTTAGGCTTTTGCCTCTTATTAAGGCAGCAGAATTAAAGGTGTCTAAGTCTCAGGTCTCCCCTGAAGGTCATAGTGGCTTTAGCAGACTTCTCATGCTTGTGGGATATATGACTCATCTCCCGAGGCTCATGAGTCTCCCAGTGTCCTTATCCCTCCCTGTTCAAAGGTAGGAGGAAAAGCTCTTCTGGAAGCAGTTGCCAGTTGGGAATGTGTGCGTGGCACTGCAGCGTGTCCAGTTGAGACTAGAACCTGAAACTTGATAGAAGGATCACCAGTACCTGAGTTCTGAGTTATAAACAGGTGGGGAGATACTTGAGTTACAGTGTTTTTGGCTAGAACAAGGTGTTGGATAAGACATTATGTTGATACGTACTGTGTGTGCTGTTAAATAATGGTTTTAGCAATTACGCAGGGGTGTTGCCTGACTGAAGAGGGAAATACAGCGGGTGAAGTGGTGACAGATCTCCTTTGCAGCGGGAAGTGCTTGAGATGCTTCTCCCTCACCTCCTCTTCAAGACTCTGATAGTTTACAAGCAGAGGCAGCTTTAGAAGATTTTCGATGATTGCATTCTTCCTTAGGTCTTAATTTTTGAATAGAAGCTGTTGTGATAGCTTATTTGTGCCATTAGCGCTTCTATCTTGGGCTTGTTCTCTTTGTTGGTTTCTGAACGTGCTGTGATGGCTGTCTGTCGGTAAAAGTTTGGTTTGTCTCCCCAAAACAGGTTTGGAAAAGTTAACATAAACCTGTTTTGGCTGATTTGTGGTTTTCTTTTTGGTGTTGTTTCATATGCTCCTGGGTGTTGTTCTAGATACACTGGCCTGGAAGAGGATGCAGTCAGATAGATCATTTGAAGATAAAACTTGTAAGACCACCCTAAGTCTCAGTGAGGTTGTCTACACCATTGACTTAAAAGGGCTTTTGAGGAAAGGCTCCTGGTTTTGTGGTTTTTTTTTTTTTTTTTTGTTCATACACAATACAGCTTGCTAGCTGTAGCACAGGATCTATGTTAGTACATTAACATTTAGGGTTATTTTACTTATGAGCATAAAAGGTTGATTTTTCTTCGTGTATGATGTGAGGTACTCTGCCTTGGCTCCTTGGTTAAATGCATTTTAGGGATGGGCTCAAGATTTCTTGAAATACCTTTTTTTACAGAGAACTTTCCCTGCAGATGTTTGCACTGTTTCAACTAAATCAGTTGAAGTGTGCCCCGTGTTTTGAGGAGGAATTTAGTTTTTCAAGCTTATGACATGTAATTTGTCATTCATTTGAATAGTTTATTCATCAGTTTTTCTAGCTTTATAGATAAGCTGTAGTATAGTAATGCTGAGTAACTAATTTATGGGGTAACTGAATGTACAGAATTTTTCCTTTTTCAGAGTGTCTGTTTTCTACTATCAATTTTCTCAAAACACCAGAAGCTGTGTAGCAGAGTAAACCATCCCCTAAACTTCCCCTTTAATCCAGTTTTTTCTACTTTTGCAATGTTGCATATGGTTGCTTGTGTACTTATTCAGTCTTCAAGAGAAATGAAAATAAAGCTACTTGAACATATTACTTGCTGTGTGAATTTCCTAAAGCTTAAATTCTTCTTTTATTCTGCTTCCAGAAGAGCCTAAAACCTCAGCTTTTCTTGATTTGATGTACATTGAGGTCTAGAGGAAAACAGGATGTGCATGCTATTGTTTTCTTTATAAGACGCTTTTCAACAGATGTCACTTTGCAGTTTAGTGTATTAATCACTGATACCAGTAGTGGTATTTGTACAGAGAGGTTGAAAAATGATGGGCAGTATTAGCTAGCGTGGGCTGTAAAGCAAAAGCAGGGAATGCGTGGGTTGCATGCAGTGTTGCTACCTTTAGAAAAATGGGTTGAAGAAATGCAGGTACAGAATGTGGTAAAATACTCTGCAGCAGTGCTTCTTGCTGTGTTCTGTACCTATCATTCTAAAATACCATGTCCTTTTAAAGTTCATTTTGCTCAGGTGGATTGGCTCTTCAGTGTTCCAGACTTGGTTGTTCTTTGGTCTCAAAGGCAAAAATGAAGCCTTGGATCTTGTGAGGAAGACCCTTTACAGCACTGTCACAGAGTAAGCAAATTGTGAGTGTCCCTGGATAATACCCTAAATTTGCGTGGAACTGTTCAGTTACCTCTGCTCCCAGCCATAACAGCAGCAGTAAAACTGGAATATGATGAGCCAGGGCTTTTTTTTTTTTTTTTTTTTTTACGTTCTAGTGTAAATGGAGAGCCAGGAAGAGCAAAGTAAAAAAAAAAAATGAAATACCCTCCACTTGCCCTGACTTTGAAGGGAAGGCTGGAAAACCTACAGAACCAGTTGATCCTCCCTTCTGTTAGGAGGGCCAGAATGGAGTAATCTAGGAACTGGTTTTAAGAGCAGGCAGGAGTGAAATGATGGTCTCTCTTAATCACTGAAACTCTTAATATCTCTTGATTTACAGTGTAAGTTTCCATTTCCTGTGCTGCAGTATTGCTTTCTTTTGGGCCACTAGCCAGTAAGAAACTTTATTTGTAAGGTGTGTGGCTAGCAGTCTTAGATTTCCACAGACTCTTTGACTCACTTTTAAAAGAATAGTTCTAGCCCTTGTTGTGAGTGCAGGTCAGAAGCACTAAAATAGGGATCTGCTGCCGAGTTCAGAAAAGTTCTTTGTTGGACTGGATCTGCAGACTAACATTTGCATTGCAGAAGTAGCCAGACACTGCTTGTTTTCCCTGCTTTGTGGAGTCCTGAGGCCAGCAGTGAAATGAGAATGGTGTGAGGGGCATGAGCCTTACCCTGGCCTTAGCAGAGGTGGGCAGAGGAAATGTGATGGCCATTTAATAGTCAGTACAGAATGTGTGTGTTTAAAATACAAATTGCATCTCATGTGGGGTGAGAAGTCCCTTTCTCAGAGTAAGAAAGAAACTGAAGTTGTGTTTTTTGCCATAATACTTTTTTCGTTTTTTTCTCATGTACTTGTAGGTTAACATAGCTCCCTCCTGGGCAGGTAATTTTTGAGGGTGGGTTGTGCTGACAGTTTTTTGCCTACAGGCTGATGTTTAGGGGGAATTGACCTGTTTCAGAACAGGGGCATCCAAGCACAATGCAAGGGAAGATCCTGTGGGGTTTTTTTACTGCAGTGAAGAGACAGGAATATGTTTGCTGACGAGGAGCTGTTGGTGAAGGAAACCTTGTTCATCATTTACGAGTTAAAATAGGTATTTCCTGGTTCTTGAAAGTTCCAGAACCTGCCAACTTCAGTGTTGCATCTGAGCACCCTGGAAACATCATTTCTACTTCTGCAGTGCTTCAGGTAGTCTGAAGTTGATGTGTGGGACTGAGACCAGGAGAGGGTGGTGTAGGTGTGAGATAGGCTGTAAGGTTTGTTTGAACACATTTGCGCAAGATTAAATGGATAATATGAAATCCACTTGGTGAAGCATGGGAACAAGTTAGGATTTGTCCAGATTGCTGAATGTGCACAAGGCTTGCTGGCATGTGGTAGCTAGTTTTATGTGCCCCTTGTGTAGACAAGTTACTGCCTTCTCATTTTGTATCTGTGAAAAGCCTGGGTTTGATTTTTTTTTTCTTTGTTTGTTTTGTTTTCCCTTGCAGGAAACTGTTAAAAGTATGGCTGGCTTTGCCATATTTAATAAGTCAGGGTGACACTTGTCTCAGCTTAGAACCTCTCTAAGCCCCTCTCACCACCTCCCAGTTTTACAGCCACCCATGGTATTGTATTTGCGGGGTGCCCCCATGAAGGAAGGAAGGAATGATGAGTCTGACTCCATGTTCTCAGAAGGCTAATTTATTATTTTATGATATTCTATTATAATAAAGAATACTGCACTAAAATATACTAAAGAATACAGAAAGGATACTTACTAAATGCTAAAAAGATAATAACGAAAACTCAAGACTCTCTCCAGAGTCCTGACGCAGCTTGGCACTGATTGGTCATTGAGTCAAAACAGCTCACACCAGAAATCAGTGAAACAATCTCCGAACACATTCCACGTG